GACAAATTTAGCACTCAAACATACTCAAATTCATTTGCAATTTATTTTTCCATAATAATTTTCAGTACCCATTGAATCATACTCTCATACGCCAGTTGCTCTCAGACATATTCAAACTTGCTTGAAATTTCATCAAAGTGAAAATAATTTAAACAAACTATCCCACTACCCTGCACTAGACAGTGTACCACTCTCAGCTCCTAAATATATTCAGTCATACAAATGTAACCTTTGACCCAATTTAAATCAACAAGGAGGCCCGCTGCTAAAACCTAGCCTGTCAGGGCCAACCTGGGCAGAGAGGGATGCAACATACCTGAAGGAAAGCTGAGATACTCGATAGATTTTTAAAAAACCTTCCCATGCAAAAGTCGAACTCATGCCTTCTGCCTGAGACAGTGAAGCATCTAACAATTACACCACAGATGCTGGATACCCGTTTTCAAAACAGTTCTAACATCCAGCTTTTTTTACCACCACAAACGACTCACAAGTCTACACATGACATATGAAACCTGTCACCCTTCTTCTCACATTCCAGTTTTGTATGACACACAACATATTTAGCATCTCTGTACATATGTATAAGTACTTGAACAACTTAGAATTGATAAAGAATCTCTCACAAAAATGATCTCAAAACCAGAAACAAGTAACACAGATTGAAAGAAGACTAGACCAGATAAAATTCCAAAAGTCTTAAGAAATATTTGTGACCTCAAGTTTAAGGAAGTACACCCTAGAAAAATGTACATGTACAGCAAACAACAAACATTTTACCACAACAACTCTCATGCCTGAGAAAGAGGGAAGAAATACACCCACATAAAAATAAAGTCCAAAATGAAAAAAAAAAATGATCAAAGTCACATTTTCAGATTTACAGGAATCCAAATTCTTTAGTTCAACAAACTTCACTTTGATCCTTTCACTATACAACCCTCTTTTGAAGAGTCTCTCTAACTCAAGATAGAGTTCGTTGGTCAGTTTGACAGTCCTGGGAAGTTAACTTTAAATGAAGAAAAATAAAACTGTAAGTGTTTTTACCCCAAAGTCAACACAATTTAGATCATTTAGGAGGTGGGCTTCCCACCCTGTTATCAGGGCTACCCTGGGTGCAGAGGGATACATCCCAGCAGAAAGACCAAGATACTGAAAAGAAGTGTTCTCCCCGCTCGGGAATCAAACTCAGGTCTCCTGTGTGCAACAGTGTAGCGCCTCACCACTACACCACAGATGCTGGTACTTTAGAAGTAGTTCACATCAAAAGTTTTTTTTTAAAATGTGATGACTGCAAATCTGTGACTGTATTCATTTTTCTGTACTGTTGTTCTCACGTACTAATAAGAAGAGCACTATCCCTGTCCACGTTCATTTGAACAAACAATCACGCACAATCTGGTCCACTCAGTAGACACGTATTCAAGCACAAAAAAGAAACAAGATGAAACATTTGCCTAAAGGATATTTCTCTTCTCAACACCTGATGTCAACTAGCCCAACAACTGACCGACCAACTTCTCAGAACAATCGTACAGCTAACATTTACCTCTCACTTCCATACTCATTATAATCTTATCAAGTGCAGCATTCGAAAAAATTGGTCCCTTTTGCGATGACAAAGAGCAATTAAGTGTGGCCTTCAAACAGTAACATTGTTCTCCTGATGCTTCACAGCACGTTTGAATAAAATATAAAATGTAATAGTGAATGTTTTACACACATGGACACATTTCAGGTCATTTTGGGGCGGCTGTTTTGACCCTGCCAGTCAAAGTTATCCTGTGCTATTAGGAATACAACATCCCAATAGACAGAAGAAAATATTCGATAAAACCCCTTGTGTTCTCGGTGTGCTGGCAAAGAGCCTAACCGTTACACTACAGACATCAGTCCAATATGGTGACAAAGAACAGAAAACTATTTGGAAAAATGACACAACAAAACTGTTCCATAATCCTACAACAAAAAAACATCACAAGACAGTGTACTAATCATGAAGACACAAACGTACAAACATGTTTTGTATCAAGCCAAAGGATGTACAAGGATTAAAGTTAAACTATTGCAATCACTGAATTGATGGAAAAGTCGTACGTATGAAAAATGTTAAACAGCAGTATTAACAGTGTCCTTTATGTGTCTGTAAGAAAACATAGGCATGGCTTCAGGGGTTTTTTTTCACAAAACTGTGGTGTTAAGTAACCGTTCCTCTCAGAGCCTATCAAAGAAAGCATCTTCGGAAGAGCTTTAAGAGTGAAAAAAGAACTTCTCAGTTCACATAAAATTTGGCATACTTCATTTCAAATTCAAAAATTGAACCAACAGATTCACTGAGATTCAACATTCGACTTATGAAATACCAAAAATTATTCCTGACAAAGACAGACAAATACTGAGTATTGCTGCTTAAAGAGCCATGATGACTACAGTAGACTAAATCAAAATGCAAGGCAGACAGTTTTGGCATATAGGCATACAACCTGCTGCGCCCACACAGCATTCAGACTTTTTTCATATCTTTACCCGTACCATTAGCTTTCCCATAATTCATGAGGTGGCAACTGCCTCTAACAGCATTAATGACAACGTGAAAAAACATGAAACAAAAGACATACTCTAAAATCTACAATGCACTCTACTTTACACACAACACGGTTCGACACACCACTAGCCATTCTCATGCTGACACTTCAGTGATGGTTAGGGGAACAATAACGCCTGTATCAGGATCGGTTTCATGGTGATGAGCCCCTCTCTACACGCTAACCTGGATGATGCCACATTAATCAGCAGTCATCATGTCAATGCAAAGACATCGCACAAAAGTAGACTCCCAATCTCCTAGAATGATCTTCAATCTATTGTCATCATATCCATTACATGACTACCGTTTCAACAATCATTCTGGAACAGTCCCAAATCCGTAGTCAGACAACTTCATATATTAGGTGAACTCATGCCCATTCTATGGTAAATGTGTTGTTACCATCTGGCCATCAAGTTGGTTATAGTAGATTCAGTCTCATATCAAATGTCATCACATCTGCTGGATGACTGCCCACAAAAGATGAACTCCCTATTGTTTTAAAAACAATCTTACATCTATTGCCATCTCATCTGGTAGAGATGACTTTCTGACAGGAGGTGAACTCACGATCATTCTAGAACAACCTTCAATCTTCAGTCAATTCATCTGGTGATTGACTTCACACATTCATAATTATTCCACAACATTCTTCAATCTAGCGTTATTGAAGAAAGTAAATTCTCAGTCATTCACCAACCACTAAGCACCTCAGAACCTCACAACAAAGGAACAACCAGTATTGGCCTCGGAGATATCTTTCTTATTAATACATATGTTTTCACAGTAACATCTTTGACATAGATTGCTATAGTGGGTGTAGAGTAGAATACGTGGTAGGTGTCTCCATATGGATAAAGTGATCGAAGGCAGTTGTGGTGATTATGTTCAAGATATACGCTGGTGTGATATGACAGCCAAAAGATGAGATGAGATGAAATGAGATGAGAATTAGCTTGCCATGGAAGACACTCGGGCTTGGATTAAGGGTTCCACAGAAAAAGAGGGTATAAAGACAGAAGCATCAAGCTTGCATGATGTTTGACCAAGGTATGAAGCTCAAGAAAAAAAAAAGTTGTGTAAAGTCAGCCAAGACTGAAGGTAATTCAAAATCTTTCAAAACAAGGATGGACGAATTAGGTTTTGTAGATGTGCTAAGCTATAAGCACAGATGTGCTAACATGAGGGTATCATGAGAGTAATTTGATTACACAGATATTTGCATAGATTCTCTCTTGAGTTTGCGGCAAGACAACTGCAGACTTCATTCAGCAGTAAAATGTCTGATAAATAATGACGTCCACTTTTTTCTCCCACCTTTACCACAACAAAGACACAGATAGTGTGTGAGTGTTGACATACAGAAGTATTCGTGACTGCATGTTTGCATAACCTCATTGTATCTGCCGAAGCCAACTGGCACAGAAGTGTAATATCATGAAAATAAACTTTTAAAACCAGAAAAAAAACACAAAGGCCTCTAGCTTTTTTCAAAAAATAGGAAACTTCCTCTCAATTAGCACAAACTTCATGACAGATAATGGCAGGCTATGAAACCCAGAGACAACATCATTCACATCAGAGAGCTTTTATCTCTAAACATTCACCACAAACAGCTGAATGAAAAAAAGAGTGTTGGCGCAAATTGCGTATATAAGGACTTTAAATACTTTCTATTAAATGTATAGGATATCCCCTCCCCCCTTTTTGCACACATCAAGGCTCACATCTCACCAAATGTACATCTTGGTTACCCAGCAGCATGAGTATCTGCACATTAGTACGACAAAAACCAGACACAAGTTTCACTCATACATATGCTCATCATATTGCAGACAAAGAAAATGAACTATAAGTAAACCCACTGTCTTCTTTCATACTTCAACGTGGCTGTCTCTGTGACAATGTTGTACCCAATCTTGCATGCAGAACAGGCAGAGGCAACATAAGTACCCAGCCCACAGTCCGTGTGCATGTTCACAGCCAGGAGAAAACCTACTAGGAAACAGGTTGGGGAGAATCCGAGGTTGAGCAAAGAGAATAATCATCGTTCATCGTAGGGAAAAGTAAGAGACAGACAGACAGACAGACAGACAGACAGAAACAATAGCAGTAGAAGATAAGAAGTAGGATCTACCAGAGGCGCCTTCAAACCACCTGCAGGTTGGGGTGGGGTTGGAAATGTTGGAGGTAATATGTGTGTGTGTGTGTGTGTGTGTGTGTGTGTGTGTGTGTGTGTGTGTGTGTGTGTGTGTGTGTGTGTGTGTGTGTGTGTGAGTGAGTGTTTCGGTGTGTATGTGTGTGCGTGTGTTAAAAGGGAGGGGGGGGGGGGGGGGGGGGGGCGGGCTGTTATGGACACACACACACACACACTCTTGAGACAAGGAGCACAAACTCAACATAACCCAAACCCACTGTCTCCTGTCATGCTTTTAATCCTAGTTAAACATCTCATGGCACAGTATTATCCTCCTCTTGTCCTGGTATCACCGAGAGAGAGACACGGAGGTCACAAGTTGAGGTAGGCAAAGTTATAGTTGATAGGTGGGGGAGGGATAGCCGGAGCTTCCGCAGGTATCGCCACACCCTCCGTGTCCAACATTCTCATTTTGATCTCCATAGACAAGAGAATTTCTTCGTCTTTTTTAACTTGAGAGCTCACCATCTGTGAAGTGCAAATACAATTACTTAAGCATCACAAGAGTGTTTTCTTATAACCATCGACGCAAGGAACATATATAATTTGTCAAATGAGTTCTTTTAACCTGTTGTCTAAGTGAAACTTTCACTAGTCAAAACAACTGCAAATTTTGTCTTTTTTCTAATACTGCAAAAAAGGGGTTCAAGTGTAATGCTGTAACCATTAAAGCTGACCATCAAGATGCTCATGAAAATAGCCAGCTCAAAAATTTACGGAGACTTAAACCTCCATTTCCTCATCTAGCAAAACACCAGATGGAACAGACATTGTACATAAATGTCTTTTGAAGCCAGCCACATTCAGAAATTGATATTCTTCTATTCGAAAGTTACTAAAATAATATCACAGATTTCTTGCCAAAGAATATTTTTTCATCGTATCTGCTATTCACATAGATTTAACATACTGGAAAAATTCATTGCATCATCACCATCATTTACCTCATTCCCTAACAGATAATTCAGTCCATCTGTCCACAGGTCAAATTCATTTTCTGAGCTGGCCATGAAACAAAACGGGTCCTTCTCCAATTCAGGTTTCAAACAGAAAGCCACCTTGAATGCCGTTACCTGAAACTCAAAAAAAAAAAAAAGACAAATGTAACCACACCAACATATACCAATACTTTCCCTCATACCCTAAGAATTCACCTGATCTGAATTAGTAGAACAGAGACAAATTTTAAAAATCTAAAAGAAAAAGAAATAGAATGACACTGCTTGCACTCACAAAAAAGAAAATTGGAGAACTTGCGCGCCTTTTCATCAGAGGATAAGACGGCTACTGACCACAGAGAAAAGTAACATAATAGACAGGTGGCGACTATGAACAACGTCTGAGGTATGGTCACTATCTACACGTACGAAATCGACTTTTTATAAAATACTTTTCAATCGCCAACATTATTGTATAAGTTCGAGCAAAATATTCCCTCCTCGAGTTCCAAAACAATAAGACCCTGGCAGCTGATGTCAACAGTAAGATGGACAACACACTGTCACATGACAGCATCAGATTTACTGTTCTGGTCAGCAGCATTATCGCCTTACTGCTTTTTTAGCAATGATCCAACATAAACACTCAGTCTGAGAACAGGCTGGAGGAAAACTTTTGAAGCGAGTGACAGCCATGAGGCGGTTTTTTAAGGCCAACTTGTCATGAAAATCACTACCATTTACATTTACCATTATCCTGGAGGGTAAACACTGCACAAATTGAAAGCCATGACAGCTGAAATAGGTTGGCATAAATGCGAAAGGAAAAAAACAAAGCATGAGAAGAAAAAAAAATCAGCCACTAGTAGTGCTTTTAACATAGTTGTTTTGTTTTTTTTGTTTTTTTTAGTTAGTGTTTTACAGAACTCACAACTGTCATATGAGCATGCAGAACACATTAAACATTTTTCAGTTGGTAGGAAATTCTTCATTTGGTCCGAGTGGCGGCCGAAGCCTACTTTAATCGATTTTAGACTACCTAGGGATTTTAACTTTCGCAACTTGCACACGGGACCTCCGGGATTTTTCGCCCTTATCTGAAAAGACTAGGTGTTAGATCTTACCTACCCTTAGATCAGGGTGTGGCTGAAAGACAGCAGTAAGAAGGAACCAAGGAGAAGCAGTTAAAAGGCTGCAGAAAGAGTCAGGAGCCCAGAGGAGACGACACAACATTGATAGAGAGAAGGAAAGGAGGCGAAAAGAGAAAATTTTAGAGAATAAAATTGTCCATCGCCACCCTGACTCGAACCCCAGACCTATTGCATGAGAGGCAGACACCATAACCTCTCGACCACGAGAGCCCCCACTGTTTTGTATGCCAGACCAATATAAAACAATTGTACATGAGGCCAAGATAAAACAAATTCAGCTTAAACCAATATTTAAAAAATCAAACAATGAACCAAGACAAAACAATATATCCCTGGACAGAAAAAAAGAACAAGTAAACTTACTCTGCGGCCTCTGTCCCTGACATTGACATGTGGGCACTCTCTGCCTGTCACCAGCTTCTGGATATCTGCCAGGGGCACTGAAACGTCAAAGAAGATTAATAAGATCAAGACATATCTATAGTTTTAGCAAAAGTTTAACAACAGTTGCAACACAAATAGGTCATGTAAGTGTCAAAGATTAGAGGTGCAACAAGAGAGTGACATACAAAGAACAGAAGGGGAAATAAAGATGGCATACGTTTGATAAGAAAGAAGGAGCAAACAACACCAGAGCACCCGCCAACCATCCAAGACAAAAACATACCCCCAACACAGAAAGACTACACAGGAGAACATAGTTACATTTAAAATTCAATCGCTCACTGCTCTAGGCTGGGTGTCTGCAGTTCCAAACAGTCTCAGAAGTGAAGAGCAATATAGTCGAGTGACAAACTCACAAACACAGACATAGAGACTTGTGTATTTGTTTCTTTCAGTAAAAGAAAGTGCAATAAAATTGCCATTTCGTGCAGGGGAAAGAATAGAAGCAGGACCTACCAATGGCACCCTCCAACCCCCCACACACATAGAGATACATATATCACAGATACATTCACTCACACACAGGAACAATCTCTTACATTTATTCGTCAACTGCTCCAAAGTGGGTGTATCTTGTTCCCTGCAATCTCCATAGTGAAGAGCCTTGCAATTATGAGACAACATCCAGTACCAAAACTTGTCTGGAGAGAAAAGCAAAGCAAATCAAATGACAATACAAAAATAATTTCACGCAGTTCACCAGATCTTAAGTTGAACAACATGGAAAGAACATCAAAATGAATGTAATTTATAAAGCATACAAAAACAAGTATAGTAAAGATTTCATCAGATCTCATAAGTTGAAAAACTTAGAAAGCACATAAAAACCAAGATAATTTTGTTTCACTTAATCAGGTATGTTGACTGTACTTTCTTTATTTGAGTACCGTACAGAGAATCATCTCAATACAATGTTGTTTTGTGCTGGGATGAAGCAAGATGGACAGGTGGATAACACAGAGGAATGATAAAGAAATAGAACCTATCAGTGGCTCGCTCCAACCTCCCATTCTGACATGTTAACTCTTTCACTTCCACAAGCCGTGTTTCATGGTTCTCCACTTCCGGCTTCAAAACCACACCTACTTTTGTAATAATCAAATCTGAAATCTTAGGCTGAAGAATGATCGTTTTTAGCAGCATGTTGAGATAGGTCATTATTTCCCCTTTACTTCCGTATATTACACATGTGGCTAATATTGAAAATTGAACTTTAAAATCTTTAATTTGTTCGACGGTAGGCAGAATCAGAAAGTAAGCCATAGATAGGGCCCGGTCGTGGTGAGGAAAACCCCCTTGTAGTGAAAGACTTAAAAATCAAAATACAGATAAATTCATTTCATCAAAACGGAATTGCCAATGCTTGAAAAAGCAGCCAAGACTTAAAAAATGTTTTTATACAGAGTTAAAAGTACAATTATTGGCAAATTCTACAGAGATGGCGCTCTACTGCTGTAAAAGTGTGTGTTCACATTTCCCTGAAGTGGCTTAGAAGGCAAAGACAAATAACAATAAACGCGGTGAGAGTGACCACAGATCTTTTGTGGTGTCCCCACTGACCTTTGCACTTTCCATCCTTGGTGTACTTAGCAAACCGAGTCCCAGCCATGAGGTAGTTGAGACGTTGTTGCTGAACCAGCTCTCTGATCTCTGGCGCTATTTGTTCTCTCAGCTCTCTGAGGAGGAAATCATTTTTTTTTTTAAGCGTCTTTCAACAAGATCTATATTTACTTCGAAGCCCACTAAGAGAACCTATTTTGTTCCTGGTAAAAGAACTTTAAAAAATATAGGAAATAATTACCTCCCCTAACCACTAATCTTCATTGCTTGTACAAGCCTTCACTACTAATCCATCTTCACCTTTAAAATTAAAGTTAACAAGTACTTTGAGCCAGCCATTTGTCATTTTAATCTACACTACAGCAATTAATCTGCAACATGTCCCCCAGATTTTAAAAAAATAGCTTCAATCCATAACTTACATGATTGGCTTAAGCTGGGCACCTTGGCCCTCCTTTTCTCGCCGCTCGTTCTCCCTGATTTTGCTGATCTCATTGTAGGTGAGTGAGTTGACCTTGGAGCGGAATGTCTCAAATGACGACGGTAGCAGGTCAAGACTTCGGGTTATCTGCTCCCTCACTACCTCCAGAACCTATCAAGGACAAAAAAAGGTCATAAATAAAGAACCAATTTGTTCAGCACCATAGTAACCCTGGCAAATTTCTAAAAACCATAGCAGTCAAGAGTGCTTTCTGTAAAAGTATGGCAATCACTATGATTTGAATAATTTTAATCTTAACGTACATGTACCTAGCAAATGTATAAAAAATGAGATAACATCCATTTCACAAATGTTTGACGAACATGGATTAAGGAAAGTTGGACAGGTTTGCGTCAAACTTTTTTTCAAAATTAACAGTTTTGTCATTTATCCACAAGGAGATATTACCAGGAAATGAGTATTCTCCTTGGCACTAATCTAGGTGTTTTAGTTCTATTTAGGAATGAACACAGATAGCATTAAGATTCAATTCAGTTTACCAAAAGAGAAATACTCTGACAAGATAACCACAATAAAGTGCCTGAAAAGAGAAAGACTAGAAGACAGAAAAGAAAGAGAAAGAGTGAAGATGCAGGACTCACCCGTGACACCCTCCAACCACCCACATTTGAGGGCAGGGATAGAAAATGTGCCAGTGCACGATAAACTTTACATCATTTTTACCACAAAGCACTAAGTTTAAGCTTAACATTTTTAGAGGAAAATTCTGCCTGTGAAATGTGAATAAGCTCCTTCAGTTGCTTTTTAAAATTCAACTACTCTAGCAAGAAGAGAACCATATCAAAGACGGCACAATATATGATGATTTCCTCTGCTGGTTGAAATACGAAAAAAAAACACTCAAAAACGCTGCTGTCAATATCTTTATCATTGAGTGTTTCATGCTATTTAAAAGGAGGGATTTGTTTTGGAGATAATGAATAGGAGCAAAATTGTTTTATTAAAAACTTTTATCTCAAAAAAAAAAAGCAAAACATCTTTATGACACCGATGCTGTTGTCTCTAAAATAGCTCATGGATGGTCGAAGGCGCTTTCTTATAGAGAACTGTCAGCTTGTGTTCATTTGACAATATTGTTTAATAATAGAGGCTGTCTGCATAATGAAAAATCACACAATCACACCACAAAAACTAAAATCTAATCAGTACAGTTACGTTGTATACCTTGGCAAAATCTTGGGTGGTAGCTTTCATCTCCCGCCAAGTCTTGTTCAAAAGCTGAATGCTAATGCTGAAAAACTCCTCAAATGGCTTGTCATGGGAGAAAAACATGACGTAGTACGTATCTCCATTTTCAGAAGCTGAAAAGACCAAAAAAGAAGTTTTTTGTTGAAAGACATTAACTATAAGTTATAGCTTTAGTAAGAGTTTTACTACACTTGTAACACAATAAGGTCATACAAGTGCCGAAGATTAGAGGTGTTACAAGAGAGTAATAAACACCAAAAAAAATAAAGGAGGAGAGATAAGGATGTTTGATAGCAAAGAAGGTGCAAACCACACCAGAGAACCCACCAACCACCAACATATGAACTCTCAAAACAAATCAAATTTAAAGGTAGAAGTAAAGCACACAATCATAGCACAATTTTTTTTTTAACTTTATAAAAGTGTTTGCACGAAAATAGATTTCATTAAACATACCAGAAGCTTTGAAAGAGGTTTAAGCAAAGCAACCAAAATAATGTTCTTGACAGTGTGCTTTGCTTCTAACTCAGCCTATGCAATGATAGTAAATGATTTAAGCCCCTTTTAACACAGTCTAGATCAAGCCTGCCTTTCAGTACCAACCCAAGCTGAGCAAACAGAACTCCAACCACACACAGACCAGACCAAAGAGTCATACAAACAAAAAACTTAAGAGGATAAAATTTCAGTAAGATGTATTACGCTGATCTCCAATATGCAGAACTTCGCACAGAATCTGGGTCAACCTCTTGCTGGCCTGAACAAACGGACAAACGTGTTCATCAACCCTTGTGGAATTCTCCAACACCACCTGGAAATAGAAATTCAAAATTTCTGTTAGAGCTTCAACATTTCATTAAAAGAATTTATTTTACCCCTTATTGACACAATTTAAATGATTTTGAATAAATCAGAAATATAAATACAACCTGCTGGACTATTATGTCTGAGATATAGTTATTTTTCAAAAAAGAGCTCTTTCTCCTGTCTTAATCTACATCATTCGTACATGTTGTTAAAATCTGGTAGAGGTAGAACTTTTTTTTTAAAAACAAATGTAAAAGCTTGGACATTTCTACTTTAGAACACTATCATCTTCAGATCAAAAACGACAAAAATGTAAAAAAAGTTTCAGTGCAACAATAATTTCTTAATAAAACATTGAACACCAGGTGGGGGGCGTTTTGCACATTTTCTTTTTCATGGACATTTTGAATTCACAATCTGAGCTGCCCAGTGTCATGTGTTCCGCTGCAGCAACACATTGGGAATTTCGTGAACATCTCGTGAATTTCTTAAAAATCACGAATTCAAGTCACATGCGAAAAAAACTTGGTGTACAATAAAATTCACAGGAGGTGATTATGTGGGCAAAGGCTGACTCTTCAGAGGAAAGAAACAAGTCAGTTATCCCAGAAACCCTGACAGCTGTCCTGACCTTGACATAGTTCTCCCAGTGGTTCCTGGCAAAGTACAGCATCACATCCAGAGCCAACAAGCCAGGAGGAACCGCAGCAAAGTCCTCCACCGGTGATTCTGCTTTCTGAGAACAGAAGTAACTTCTATTAACACTTGTTGTCTTGAAAAAACTTGTGTACGTAAAGAGGGAGCACACTGACACAATAAAGGTCATTGTTTGAGTAAAGAGAAGCACATCAACACAAAGATGGTAACTTAGTGAGGGGAAAAAATTAGACAGACAGACAGAAACAAGGGAACGTAAAGAAGTAGAACCTACTAGTGGCGCCCTCCAACCACTCGCATAAAGGTCATTAAGAGCAAGGAAAAAACCCCAACATAAACAGAAGCATCAGCGGGAAACAAGAGAAGTACGACATACCTCCGACCACCTGCAGCAAAAGTTATGACATAACAAGCTACTTTTGTTAACTGTTCTTCTAGCTAAAATAGCTGGCAGTTTTCCTGGCTACATGCTGCAATATAGTTTCGTCTTTTTATCTTCATTAATTATATCTGCTTGCCTGTACAGCAACGGCATCATCATACACAAAAGTATCATTCCTATCTTTAAATTTGGTAGTTATAATATATGCTCACAGCTTGAAAACTATCTTTTTATGCTGAAAATGCTAACATTGACATATATAAACCACCTGCAACAAAGCTAGGAATAGGATTACAACTTGTGTGAGTAACACAACAAGTCATTTCCGCTAACATTGGTACACTTGAGGTTATGCCCATTTACATTGATACACAGAATTTACTTCCATTAAGATCAAAAGTAAAATGGTCTCCGCCTTGGAACACTCAATGTAAAAATAGAAATCAGCCAGAGAAACCAGTTTAAGCACTAAGCAATCAACTTTGCTGAGTTGTTTTATCATGCTTTGCACAGGGTGAGGTGAAGAGAGAGGGGTTGGAATGAGCTACTTGCCCAATTTCACTTGTCTACTAAGCATGCACGTGAGCTCTGGTTCTCCCTTGCCTCAAAACAATGCATACAACTTAGACACACACACACCAACACACACATCGACACACACACACACACACAGGCACAGGCACACACACACACACATTATATTTGATTTATTTGTTTTAAGCAAACATTTAAATCTTCTCTCAGGCGTCTGCCTCCCCGACAGGTCATTATCTCATCATATCATAAACAAGAGAAGCCAAAGGGTGGGAACTGAGTTGTGCCCAAAGAAATCTGCCAAAGCATCCCCCTTTTTCAGGCTGAGACGACTGGTATTCGTTCTTATGGAAAAGGCTGTCAAGCAACAAATTATTTCCATTGATACAAGCACAGAATTTACTGCTGCTACAACACTGACCTCTGATTGAAGTCCAGCATCAATACTATAAGGCAACCTAAACTTATATTGTACAAAAAAGAAAAAAATTCCAAAATCTGAAAGTATTTTAACCCATTTCCAGCCACACCCACAAATTTACATACCTACACTAAAACTGCTAAAAATTTCTCTCCATAATGCGACAAAACTATCAGAAAATAAGCATGCGGAGGTGTATGAATGGTAACTCTAAAGTAGCTTTTTTAAAACTTGGAATTAGTGGACTGGAGCAAGTTTTAGAGAGACACAGAGGGATTCTGATTTTCTCGCAGTCAGACTGCCTGGATACGAGTATTCTTATTCTTCTCAGCAATGAGTTAAAGAAAATGTTAAGGATTGAAAAAGTTACCTCAAACCCCAGCTTCTTGTAGTCCTCAGCTGCATTTTGAGACTTTCGTACAGAGTTGATGTTGGGGTCAACATCAAATGCAATCCTTCGCAGCTCTTCAATTTCCCGCAGTACCATCTGTATGGCCAAAGGGGGACAAAATTCTCTAAATATACAAAACAGTAGGCCCTAATAAAGAATACCTTAAACATTAAAAAAAAAAACCTAAGAATACACCGGAATAAGTAAGTATTAGGGAGAGCGTTTCAGTACTTGCAACAAAAATAGATCATGAAAGTGCTAAGATTTGGGAATTTACTGAGAGTAACATACAAAAAAATGAACATGGAGAGACAAGATAAGATTTTTAGTTTTAGTTTTAGTAAGAGTTTTACAGAACTTGCAGCACAATAAGGTCATATTATAAAAGCCAAAGAATAGAGGTGTTACAAGAGAACGAAAAAAAGGAGGAGAGATAAGAAAGATGCTTGATATGAAAGAAGGAGCAAACCACAACTGAGCACCCTGTAACCACCCCAAGAATACTCTCAACATACAAAACAACAACAATAAAATTCTCTAAATGTACCACACACAAAAGAAAAAAAAAAACCTGTTCATTTTCAAAACAGCAACAAAAATACTCTAAACATACAAAAAAGCAACAATGAATACTCTAAACATACAGAACAGCAACGATGAACACTCTAAACATACAAAACAGCAACAATGAATACTCTAAACATACAGAACAGAAACTGACACCACTCTAAACATACAATACAGTAACAAAGAACACCCTATACGTACAATACAGTAATAAAGAACACTTTAACATACAAAGACAGCAAATAAGAATGCTCTCAACATACAAAGAATACTCTACACATACAAACAACAACAAAAAACACTCCAAACACAAAACAGCACATGATTGCAGACACTGACCTGGTCATGCGGATCCACTCCCATCCTCATTCTGTCCTCATTCAAATTAAGCAGCAACATCTGCAGCACGTACAGCTCATGAGCCATGCCAGCTCCCACAATCTGACCCCGGATCACATTCTAAAAGAAGAAAAAAAGACGGATGAGAGAACTTGTTCTCGAATTTTTTTTCTTTTCAAAATGTGAATTTGAATTTGCTTCGGAGGGGAGGTTTTTCTGATATTTTGTTTGGTTTTTTTTTTCTACTGCAGGGTCTAAGTCTGCTCATAGAGATGTCTTATTCTTTTCAGCCCATTTTGTCTTCAACAGAAAAGGATGAAGCAGACCACCTACAAAATGAGTGAAACTGGGGGCGTAAAGCATTTGCATTTACAATTACATATTATGATCTTATAACTCAGCTTAGAGACAGAGAAAGATGGTGAACTCTAAAATGTAGGTATGCAGCGTAATGGGGTTTGTTTTTATGAACGAGTCGTAGAAACCCTCTGTAATGTAGGCTCTGACAGAAAATGTTCTCCCACAATCTCTGTTATTACATAAGATGACTTGTGTCCCAAAAATAAAATTTTTTTCAAAAATACATTTTTAACATAAAATAAACACACAGATAGCTAAAGAATAAGTTTTTAATGTGACTCAATTTTTGCCCTTTGTTGCCTTGTATCTCAGTTCGAGTAAACGCATCCTAAGGTACCTTTCATCAGGCACGCACACATCAGCTGTCTGTAATAAATATATATATATGTTTAACGCCCTCATCTTTATACTTTAATTCATTTAGGAGGCAGGCTGCTTTGACCCCCACTTGTCAGGCCCAACCCAGGCTACCAGGGGTAGTACATCCCACAGACAGATTCTCAATGAAAAAAAGAAATCCCTTCCAACACAGAAATCAATCTCATCTCTTCAACGTGTGATGGCAAAGTGCTTAACTTCTATACCACAACAGACGCCGGTCCGGCTGCCTACGTTTACTTTGGTAGTAACGTTAAATAAAGACACACAATGATTCTGTGAAAATCCCACCCGTAATGAAACAAAGGTGTTGTCATACTCACACTCAAAATGACATTTCTCATACTTTTAGACTGCAAACTCTCTGCAATTTTCTGAAACAAAAAGACAAAAACTCTGTAAACATATAAGCTAATCTACACCACTGCATATTTATTATAATAGAAGGTTTGGTGTTGTTGTTAACGATCCAGTAGCATCTAAGCATTAACTCTTCCTCATGATGCCATTCTGTAATAGCTGTATGTCTAATCTAATTGTTGTCTTGAGGAGTAGAGGCAATTAGATATGTGGGGTCGCTTGGGAAGAAAACATCCCCTTCAATCAGTTAGTTTTCTACAGAAGAACAGATGACGTTCCATTGTCTCTGAGCGGTAGTCACATAGTGGGCAGGCAGCAGACTGCTTTACTCCAATTCGGTTGAGATGTTGGTTGAGGGGTACATGTTGTGTTCTAAGTTGGAAGATTATGGATTGATCTCCCCTCCTCAACTCATTGATTGGATCTTTGACCAGTAGTTTATTCATGTGGCCATACATCATCCTTCCTGTCGTACCTGTTGCCCATTCATTCATCCAGTTTTCCTTGAGGTTTGACTTGATCATTTGGCAGCAGGTGGTGTAATTAGTAGGAATTTCAGCTGAGGGAGGCTAGCTCCTTTCTTAGCCAGAGCATCAGCTCTTTCATTTCCCGGTATCCCAGTGTGGGCAAGAATCCATTGTAGGACTACTCTGACTTGGCGCCTACTTATCAAATTATGTAGACTCCAAATCAGGTGCAATATATCTTTGTTCACATCAGTCCCACTCTCAAGTGTTTCTAGTGTTGAAAGGCAGTCTGTAAAGATAACGATGTCTGTGGTAGCAAATGGGTTAATGTCAAACAAGCAGTTGATGTAGTTTGCTGTGTTGGTGATAGCCTGTTGTTCAGCAATGAAATTGGAGCAGAAGGACCCGCTGGAATTAAAGACTTCTTTTTTTGTCCCACTGGAAAATTGATCACTGACCCATATCCAGCGTTGATTGTTGCCTTAAAGGCAGACCCATCAGTGTATGAGTGGATCCATGTCGGTGGATAGGAATCAATTGTTTCAAGGGCAGAATATTTTAGTGCCACAGGATATGTGTTTTTATTGCTCTTGTCCAAAAGTGTTTTCCTAATTTCCGGCTTTGCTATGGTGAGATGTGGTGGGAGAGTTGAGGGAACTCTTTCCAGAAGTTCTCATCTTTCAGGGAGGTGATGTTTTTTTTTGGAGATTGAGGACAGTGTCTAGTACAGATTTTGTATTTTTTAGTCTTTGATTAGGTTTCCACTTGTCAACAAGAATTCTATTTGGGTGGTTATTTTCTAGCCTTTTAGATCTTTCATATACTTCTTTAGCTGCCCGTTTTCTTCGAGTTTCTAATGGCTCAATATTTGTGTGGATTTCACAGGCCGCATTCGGTGAGGATCTCATTCCGCCAGAGATAAGACGAAGAGCTTGGTTTTGGATGGTGTCCATTGAGTTCTTTGTAGTTTTATTGCAAATGTTTTGTAGAACAAGATTATAATCAAAAACAGCTCTAGTGCATCCTAAATAGAGGCCTCTCAAGGTGTTCTTGTCTGATCCCTAGTTGGTACTGGCAAGTCGTTTGATGAGATTAAGTCTCTTCATAGCCTTCTTCCTAAGGTTGTTGGTGTGTTGTTTCAGGTTGAGCTTGCTGTCAAGTTGTACTCCAAGATAGACTGGGTTATTCTCCTTTTTCAAGTTGATACCATCTATTTTGAGAGGGATTTCTGCATTTGCAAGGTTATACTTCTCGTAAAAACAGATTAGAGTTATTTTCGCAATTTACTTTCATCTTCCATAAACGGCAATAGGTTCCTAGGGAATTTAGATCATCTTGTAGTCTTCGTCTGCTTATTGTTGTCGAGTTTCCAGTCTGCCAAAGGACCAGGTCATCAGCAAAAAGAGTTTTTTCTGTTTTGAGAACATCTGAAACATCATTGACGAAGACAAGGAATATGGTACAGCTGAAAGAAGATCCCTGTGGGAGTCCTTCCTCAAGTACTGATTTTGAAGATAGGGTTTCATCCATCTGGGTCTGGATAAGTCTATCTGTATGCTAATAAAAGGGTAAACATAATGGAATTCTCAATCTCCGCCCGCACCACACTCTTCATAAGATCATTTTTTTAAAACACAAAAAAAAAAAGAAGACAAAAAAATGTATAACAACATTAGAACTGTATTTTCCTTAAACACAGGGGAGGGAACATAAACTGTTTTTTAAAAAAAGGCTACCTTTAACTTCAGTATCAGAAATTCATTTCAACAATGGAAAGCCTTGCCGATAGTTTAGTAAACCAGAAATCATCTTCAGGCTTTACAGAACAATGTTGTCCTTTGAGAGGACACCTAAAGGCACAACTGCAGCACACATGCGCAACAACTGTAATTCATTACCTTTCTTTTCATCTCATCAGCTCTCGTGAACAAGGCGTTGATTAAGGCTATAGCGTTCTTCTGCACCTCTGGACTGGAGCTGAAGAGAAAGAAATTTATAATAATAATAATATTAATAATTGTAATAATAATAATAATAACAACTACAACAACAACAATAATAATAAGATAAAAATAATATTAATTTGAAAAAATAGCATTTGTACAGCGCATATCCCCACTCAACAGCAAACTCTACTATATGTGTCACGACGTGGTGGAGTCAGGCGCTCGTCAATTTTTGGACATGTAGAGTTATTGGTATCATTTTAAAGTTTGTTCATTTGCCTTGCTGTCCGTGAAAAAAATACTCATATATCACGAATAGAAGTCGAGACTTTTGCAATTGAAGGAGGTGGGGGTCGCCTGGTTCCAGTGGTTAAATTAATGAGAAAATGGGCGCCAAAGTTTGGTAACTTCAATATCTTAAAAGTTTTTGAAAACTAAAAATTACATATTTTTGTGCCTTTAAACAAGGGTTTTGCATAAAACTCACATGTAAATGTGTTTTCATATGAACATAAAAAATGTTTAGCCGAAAAACAAAATGTCGATAAAAAAAACCAAACTGGTAAAAAAAACCCACCTTTTTCTTCGTTTTCATTATTTTGACGAGCGCCTGATTTCACCACAATGCCTCACATATATATGTAATACTATATTACAGAAGCCTATGACGGATGCAGACTTAACCACACGTTAAAACAAGGTAAATGACACATAGTAGAGGGATAAAAAAGAAAAACTGGAATATATCAAATAAAAAGGCAAGAATTACCATTGTTGCTCGATACACATTGCAAAGTAAATATATCTAAGGCTCCAAAAGCTTAAGTCAAAAGAGCATCATATGTTATATGTTAAGAATTTTGCTAACTGATTGAAACAATTCTTACTGATCTGCTGATCTGTTAAACTACAACAATACAAGAATAATACGATTTGGCAAAACTCAATTTCAAATTTTTTGTGTTTCCACAACAAGCCTTTAAAAATCATTATCTTAATGGTGTTTATGGGGGCATATAACATAATTACAATTTTGCTTTAAAGATAGGACATCAGAAGTTTTCACATAACACTAGTAAAAAAAAATACAAACTGAAAGTCAAAAGAGCTCAACACTTGTGTTAAAATAAGGAGACAAATCACAAACCTTTCTAAATGGGGAATGACATTCACCGGGGTCACCACTTGCTCCACAACACTTTGTCGATTTGTGCTGCAGACAAAATAGGTCAATACCATACTTTGTTTGATCACAATAAGAAAAGTGTGTACTCATATAGCAAATAAGTCATGAAAAAGCTGCTTCACAAAATGTCATTAATACTCCCTTCCACGACTCTGTCACTTTTCTTAAATTGCAAACATCTTTAAGTCAATAGTAATAATAAAAACCACACACAAATTCTCAAAACAGTAAAGAAAAGGTAATTCCAATAAATACAAAGAGCAGTGATCACATTTCAGTGCTGCCCACTGCTTCGTTCAGTGATTTTAAAGTGCCTACTCTTCCACGAACACAAAGTCAAAGTTGTCTAATACCAACATTAATTTTTAATAAATGAACATGTGCAAATGCACAAACTGACACAGCTGCTACTAGGTGTCTATGTAAACTTATTACTTACTCATCACATAACCCAGGAGGATCGCAGGGTTGCTGTATGATAGAGAGCCTGGTCAGGATCTATGCAAGCACACACACACAAAATATCCAAACCTTGTATAGCTAATGATAATTTTTACACTTTTCCTCCTTGCTACAAAGTAAGGTCGACAGTGTAATTCTGTCAACAATCAAAACGCTACTTTCACAATCAACTTATGCGATAATATTGGTAAGTTTCTTTAACTCTGTGTCAAAACTGAAAGAGACACCGAGGATCATGGTGCTCCCCTCATTTCTCTCTTCCGATGCTCTCAAAAACCTATAGATATTATCCTGGTCCACTTCCATCACCCATCTGTTCAAGTTCTCAAAGCCATTCATTCTTGGTATACCTCTGCTTCTACTGCTATGTATTCTATTGCTTCCAAGAGCAAGACGTTAAATGCCTTCATATTGATTCATGTGTCCAGGAAATTCCATTTGTCCTTGTCACTTGTTTTTAGCAATATGTGTAAGAAAAAATAATCATTCAAACCCACCAGTGCAAGACGACAGACTCCAAGATGTCCAAGGCTGACTGGAGACACGAGGTGTCAAGATGATGAGCTGACACATTGACACAGTCCGCTACCTGTGAGACAGATATAGGAAAAAAACAATATATAGCATAATGTGATCAAACTGTTGAGTGTCATCTTCTACTGTCATGTTTACTGAATACTTTGAGCCTTAACTCCCTGAGCCTTAAAGGACCCGTATACCTGAGGTCCCTTGAGTCCATTGCTAGACTTGCACCACCTGACACTAAGGCGTGCATAAAGGACCCAGTAGGATAAAGGCACAGTACATTCATGCATACACTTGTGTCCATGAGGGAAAGCAAGGACCTTTAAAACACATGACCAACATACTTTCCACATGCATTCCAAAAGGATAATGATCAAGTTTTTCTAACAGAGCCAAGAAGTAGATTGATATTTCAAAGCAATGATATAAAATCCCAGCAGACAGGGATTACTAGATAAAATACCATCCCCCAAAGAAGATATATGACTCATATTTTCAATGTGTAACTGCCAGGAGCCTCACCATCACACCACAGACGCTGGTCAATCAAAATGAAATCAACTTCCTAAATTCAAAAGGAAAAAGAAACATTTTAACCGCAAAGATCTATTACTTTCTACTAATACATGTATATTTAGCAGGATAAACCAAACTGTTAACAGCTGTGTAGTCAAATTATATGTCTTTGCTATTATACACACAACTACAATCATAAAGGGACACATACTCATGGTGTCATGATGTGTCTGTATCACTGGAAGAAAAAGATCAATTCTCTTTTGCTCCAAAACCATTGTTAAGGTTAATCTGCAGATCTACAATAAGTACTTAGAGTCACCATGCTCTAGAACTGTTCTGACTTTTGGGTCTCCTCTCATTATTTAAATAAAAAGGGCTGACAATTTTTCAAGAAACCAGCAACACGGTCATAACATAACACCATCGATGCATCAACGTACCCGTTTGATAAACTCCGGCTCCAATATATCCCAAGACAAGATGCTGTGCTCCATCAGGCAGACAAAAGATTTCAGTGTGTAAGCCAGCGAATCTCCTTTGCTGTAAATGAAACATGGAAATACCAAAGTAAATATTTTAGCAGAACGAAAACAAAACAAAAAATAATAAAATAACAATTTACTGGATCCTGTGGGGAAATCTGGGTTACAATGGCAAAATACATACATAAATACATAATTTAACACAAAAATATATATTCAAACAATACACCAAATACACAAATTACACCAACAGAAAGGACAAAAATGAGCAAAAGCTAGCAGACAAAATACTGTTGTCTCTGAAGACAACAAGCAATAGAACATTGTAAAAAAAAAAAAGCAACAAATGACCCGGTCTCTATTCAATGTTAACACTAAGTAAAAAAAGCAAAGCAACATTAAACTAAATAGAACAAAAAAACACTACATTTTTAGCTAATCCATTTTTGAGAAAATGCAAAACAGTATTTTTTACAATTCTTTAAACTGTATCAAAGGTACTCATCAAGCCTATGGCTTGCAGAGATAAAATACTCATCCTTGCAGCATTCTTATTGGCGTACTCAGAAACAAATGTGACTCAAAACAAGCATCCAAAGGGCATATAGTTATCCTGCATGAAATACAAAAACTATGAGAAAACCAGCCTTTTTTTTCTTAACAATATAACAATGAATTTAATGCCATACAAGTTTGGGTTTTTTTAGAGACAGAAAGAAAACGCACTACAAAAAAATGATTCAGCAGTTCTTGAAAAGCCAAACTAGTTTAATCTCTTTGAAGATAACAGAGTGACATTGCAATCTTTACTCACAAATTGCCTGTTGTAAGGATGTCTATGACAATCTGATGGCCCCGTATTTTGACAAACTCCTCAGCAAAAGTGATATCAGAGGCAAGGAAGGACAACTGACGTAAAGCTGCATTCTTATCTTCCAGTCTCGACCCACTCAGGGCAGACTTGATTCTTTCAGCAGTTTGAGCCTGCAAAAAGAATACATTGATAAGGCACAATAATTTCGTTTTTGCTTCGTTAGAATGAAAAGGATATCCACACAAAAATAGTTAACTAGGCCTGGGTTAGGGAAAGCCAGGCAGTCATAAATAACACCGAGTAAGAAATGACAAATGACAGATTCCTAAATACTATTACAGCAGAATCAGATTTAAATAACCCTTGCATTCAGAAAGACTTGAAATAAAAAAAATAGGCTTTTCAAATTGAACATAGCTGTTAATTTCCTTTAATATCCATTCTACTTCTCTCCATGCAATCCATGTAAAATTTAGACAAACTTATCAGAAAAGATATGGACCAAATATATTCCTGTGCAACAGTAATCAGAACGCAGTACAAGTTAAAAATTATTAAAAAACACAACTAAAATAAAAAGTAATAAAAAGAGGAATTTACTTACAGCAGATGGGGTCAAATTCAAAACTTGACCATCTCTTATGTCCTTGCGATTCTGAAACACACACAAGATATTGGGTTAATACATGCAATGCTATGACATCTAGAGAAAGACCGCAACACTTTCCCCCAATATTCAATCTCATCAAACTTGAAGGAAAGCATTGGCACAATTACAGTATATTATTTTTTCTTCTTCAAGCGTTGCCTCTTGTTTAATAAGAGTTTTATTGTGCTCGCAACTGCATAAGGTCATATGAGCACCCTGCGTCGCATCTGATATAGACATGAGCAATGATGATCCACCGTTCATTTTCATTTATCTGCTCAGGGTCTCTCAAAGAGACCTATACACATCCTGTTCTTTCCCTGTCAACTATTTGCTCAAGTTCTTAAAGTACCTTATTCTTGATCTACTTCTGCATCTTTTACTATCTTTTCTTCTAGTAAGAGCAGGATGTTGTATTCCAGATGTCAACTTAAGGTCCCTAGAAACTGCATTTGTGACATTTTGTCTCTTTCAAGTTATTTTTATTAGTGGCAATCCCATGCTGACTTCATTAAAGTTCTTTGAATAAGTTATTCTCTGTCTATATAGCCTTATCATTTCCAAGTGAGAGCAAACTGGCAAGACAAAAAAGTTAACCCCTTCATTCCTGGCCTCTTCACTAAGTCTACAGGACCAGTTCATCTGAGCTCCCTAGATGCCAACTCAATTTACACACTTGGCTTGGGTCTACAGGATGAGGGACAAAAGCTCAGCAGTTAGAGGATACACGACAACAAGAAGACCAACGTGATCCATACCTTACTTAGCCCCCTCCTGTTTACATTCTTCATCCTTCTTACACTCTTCACCAACAATGGCCACCCTTAAGTTCAATCTCCAGAGCACTTACAATGCACCGTCTTGTGTTGACATTCCAAGAAGCTCAGTGGAAGTAAGAATAAATTCTAACTGTAGATGACAGCTCCGACTAATTTTCCTCAAATGATATAAAATCAGGGCTACAACATAATGTCAATTATCTATTCTTATCAAAGCCCTGCTTTTCATGACAGAAAAATGCAGCTTTGAACAAAAAACTGATAAATCAAAAGGGATGACATGTGGTATACCACAGTCTTCCTCAGCAGACACTATTGAAATCCTTTCTGGACTTTTATACAAACAGTAACAAAAAGAAAAGAAAAAAAAACTTTTGAGCAGGAATAAGCTCAAAACCAAACAAAAACCCACACCTTTTCAGTAATGTACAATTTTTGATCAGGCTCATTAAATCTCAGTGCATAGGTGGATGGATCTTGAAGATTCCATCTGTGGATAGCAAAAAAAAAAAGAACATGTTACAAGTCATATAAAAGTTCAAATTTATGTTTTGTTTCTCTGCTTAGAACCAAACAGATACAAAAACAGTCAACATAAGGACACAGGTATATATTTCGATTCCTATAAACACAACATTAAACTTATTTTTTAAAGTTCAATACAAACAGAACTCTAACTCCGCTCTAAAATCTTAATCAAATTAAAATGGAATAGCATACTACTAGTATCTTGATTACAATTCCATTTATTCTTTAGTCACTTACCTTATGATGATGAGTTACATAAAACTTACACAAATTACTGAGGGTCTCCCTGAGACACACGTTCATGATGGAATAGTTCTGAAGTTTAACTGAACAAACACCAGTTACAAATCTATTTTATTTCATAAAATGCCGAACCTACCTTCAGGCATGAGATTAATTTGTTTGAGTAAACAGATTCCCATCGACCTAACAAAGGTTGTTTAGTGCAGAGAAAAAGGTCACACAGTCAGACAGAGACAATGAGGTGAAAAAGAAAAAAAATGTTGGACCTAAAAGTGACACCCACCAAGCCACCATGTCATACAGATATCAGTATAGGATCGAAAGACACTCTCCAGTACTAACCTCTATTACGATTTAAGCCTGAAAGCACTAAAACAGAACAAATTACACAATCAACAAAAGATTGGAGAAACATTGTGAAAATTCGATCTTGGTGTTGTGACTTCTTTGAGGTAATAAATTGCAACAAAATGCAAAACAGACACGGTGCCCCACACTAAAGCATATCTAATAAAAACACTTGTACAAATGAAACTCATGAATAAAAAAATATTATATCGCAATGGTTCAAAAAGTCACAAAGTAACAAAAGGGTTGACTACAAATATACCATACCTTTCACAGATCTCTTGAATTATAGACTCAAGTGGACGTTTCTGTGATAGGAAAAGGAAAAAAATTAAGTTAAATATATTTTTTGAAAGAACAGGACTGAAATAACACACTACCATCAACAATACAGATAAAACCAAAAATGGTTATATTTTTTAATTCAACTATCAAGAAGAGAATGAGCTATCTCTGCATGTCTGCAATTACCACATATTTTAATTTTTGTTTGTTTGAGAAAAGAGAAGCACTCATTGACTCACAGTAATAGTCATTTTTGCACAGAGGAAAGGTAAGACAGAGAAAAGACAGAAAAAAAAAAGAACAATCTACCTGTGACGCCCTTCAACTACCCACCCTGTAATCAACAAGCACGAGATCAAGTAACTAAAAGTAGCAGGAAAACGGGGAGGGAACAGTACAAGCCTCCAGGAAAGATGAGAGCACTGAAAGCCTAGAGTAATCCATAAGGAATGAAAGCAGGTTGGTACTTGTTTGATTGAGTAAAAATACATTGACACAAAAATAGCAGTTATTTTGTGCAGGGGAAAAAGTGAGACAGACCAGCAAAAACAACAGAGGGACAGGAAAAAGTAGGACCTACCAAGGCACATACCAATAACTCGGTGAGCGTGGGTACGTGTGGGTGGGTGTGTGTGTGGGTGGGTGTGGATTTGGGTGTGGGATGGGGGGGGTTGTAGAGGTATTACGTTGTACTTACCCCATTCAGAGGATGGGCTTATATACTAAAAAAAAAGAGATGTTCTGCTACTCGGCTATGTTTACTTAGATTCAGCTCTGGGACAAAACAAGACTATTAGAAAAAAGAAGGAATACAAGCATGCAGGAAGTAGTACCTCTCTATTCTTCTGGTGAGGCCAGTAGTACCCTCCAACTACACACCAAAATCATTTCAATCAATAAAAAATTTGACTTTTGCACAATATAACTATATAATGTTTACTACAACTCAGTGCTGGTGCAAACTAGATACATAACATAAATAAAGAAAGGACAGGCAGGAAAAGTAGAACCAACCCCAGTACCAGTGGGGCCCTCCAACCCCCAGTAGAATCAGGATTAAAAGCAGCAGGAGGATAAGCATTCAAAAACAGAACAGTCGAGTTTGAAGGATGAAGAAAAGAATGAAAAGAAGGGAAAGCAGAAAGGTTTGGCTAACACAGGCAGGACAAATTTATGGGAAGATAAGCCGAAGCAGAATGAATACTGAAAGATAGTACTTTCTTTTTCTTGTTCTTCCTTTTTAACCCTGAACTTAACAGACACAGCCATAAAAATTTTACAATTCAACCATCATTAATTAAGACTGCTAGGCTTGAAAGGCATTAATTATTTTCATACACAATATACCTTATCAAAATTCAGAAAAAAAATGCAAAAAATGCAATATTTTTAAACAGTCCAAAATACCTGATCAAACTCGATCAGCTGACCTCCAGCTGTGTCTCTCTCTGGCATTGTCACAGCCACCTTTTTTATATTAGCGTCTGTGTTTTTCTTTGGAGTGGTCGGCAGGGTACGTCCATAGCTAGCGGTCGACATCGTGCTAGTCCTGTCTGGGTCCTTCATCATTCCAGTTGGCATTATAAACAATAATTAGCTTCACAAACTGTACACATCAAAATGTGGGCGTAGTGTATAGCAGTGTTTACCGGAATTTCACACAATGCACATCACGGACATCCTCTCTGTGGGAGAATTCAAAATATTAAAAACATATTAAAGTATAATTATTAATTCTTCAAAGAGCTAAACTCAATGGCTTGGCTCTAAAACAAAGAAAATACAAAGCAATTTCACCGAACACATTTTAAACAATATTTTTAGAGATTTCCGTACTTCCACTGACACCATTGTCTTTTATAACCACAAGAGATGTTGTTGTTGTTGTTGTTTTCAAATCCCTTTAGCTGCGAGCATTTCGCTCTTGGCAGCGCAATGCCTCCCTCAAGTAACCACATGTCCTTGTCATCTGGTCAGCGCCAGAGTAGAGCAGGCTTTGTAAGTCTGTAGGTGTGTGTAGGAGCCTGCGTCGAAGAACTGCCAGGTTTGGGCAGTGAAGGAGAAGATGTTCAACGGTCTCCTTGTGGTAGTCACAGTGTCTGCAATGGGGTTCCCACATGGGGTTAATTCTATTTATGTGCTTGTTGGTGTGTAAGTGTCCTGTGCGAGCTCTGAAGATCAAAGTCTGATCAGCTCTACATAAGAGATTCGATGGGTCTTTGGGGTTGGGTTTGTCCATGTACCCGAAGAGAGACCTTCCTGTTTCTGCGTTGGCCCATCTGTTTAGCCACTCGTCTCTGCTTTTGGCAAGGATGATCCCTCTGCAGGCCTGTAAAGAGGCAACTGTGTCTGTCTGGGGCAGGCTTGCTCCAGTCTTTGATAGTTGGTCTGCAGTCTCATTCCCTGGTACTCCAGAATGGCCAGGCACCCACTGCAGTGTGACCCGGACGCCATAGGTAGTGCACATCTGTTTTACAAGGCTGAGAATGTTCCTGTCACCTCTGTAGTCTCCTCCTCCCTCGACGGCTTGGAGTACTGACATTGAGTCAGAGAAGACAACAACATCCCCCGGTGTTGCTGCACCTTCAAAAAAGTCTTGGGTGATCTGCTCCAGGGTCTTTACTATGGCAACTCTCTCTGCGTCATAGTTGGAGCTGTATGTTCCACATGGGCCAAATAGTTGGGTCTGCTTCTTCTCTTCAAGGTTGTTTCGTTATTTGATGATGGATCCGTATCCAGCATTCCGTGTAGCGTTTGTTGCTGATCCATCTGTGTATGCATGAATAGGGGTTTCAGCATACGAGTCCACTGTCTCTAGGGCACTACTTCTTAGGATTTCTTCTGGTGTGGTCTTGTCACAAGAAGTCTCGTCCTTATTGTGATTTCTGGTGCTTGCCAATATGGAGGTTCGCTGCTGATGTTGGTGATTGGTTCTCTGTTCTCAGGTGGGTCAAACTCCTTCAGTAGTTTTGTTGCTTCTCACATGAAGGAGGTTTTCTGGATGCGTGTTCTTGGTTCCCACTCATCTGCCATTTTTCTGTTTTCGTTTGTGTCTTCTAGTCGCACAAATCTTTCGTAGGTTTCGAGTGTAGCACTCTTTCTTCTGAGGTCCAGTGGTTCTATGTTGGTGTGGATTTCGCAGGCGCTAGTAGGAGAGGTCTTCATCGCACCACAAACAAATCTGAGTGCTTGGTTCTGTACTCTGTCAAGCTGTGCCAAAGAGCTTTGGCTGGCTATGGATTGTAGTGGTAGGGAGTAGTCAATCACAGATCTGACACACCCTATATAAAGTTGTCGGAGGGTTGCTTTGTCAGCTCCCCAGTTGAGTGATGAAAGGTGTTTCAGAAGATTTGTCTGGAGGTGGCTTTCTTGGTCAGCTCGCCTAAATGCTCTTTGAGAGACTGCATTCGGTCCAGTTGTACACCAAAGTACTTGGGATAGTCCTCATGTTTGATGTTGGTTCCATTGATCTTAAGGTTTACCTGACCTGCTGTAACCTTGTTTTTGAGGCTGAATAGTCCAAAAACAGTCTGTGTTGATCTCCATCTTCCATAGCTGGCAGTAGGACGAGATAGTAGTCAGGTCTGTGTTGATGGCTTGGTTCAGTGCTCTCATGTCACTTCCTTTGCTCCAGATGAGCAAGTCGTCAGCGTAGAGTGCTTTCTGACAGGAGATGACATCTGGCAGGTTGTTCATAAACAACAGGAAGAGGGTACAGCTGAGTGCTGACCCCTGTGGAAGGCCTTCCTCGAGTGTCCTGTGCAGAAATCTTGCTGTCACATGATGTCTGGATAGTTCTGCAAGACAGAAAGTTCTTGATCCAGCTGTACATCCTTCCTGCTATCCCAAGCTTTTTCATTTTGAAGAACAGTCCCTGTCTCCACACACGGTCGTACGCCTGCCTCAGGTCGATGAAGACAGCCACAACATTGTCTTTATCTTGAAAGGCATCGCTGGTCTTCTGAGCAAATCTGATGAGGTGGTCCATAGTTCTTTTGCCTTTCCTGAATCCTGCCTGTGATGTGCTGATTGTGCCGGTGTTTTCCATCCACCAGTACAGTCTGTCGTTGACCATTCTCTCGACGACCTTACCCAGGCATGATGTTAAAGAGATTGGTCTATAGCTTGAAGGCTGGCTTGCTGGTTTGTTCTTCTTCAGTATCGGTGTGATGTTTGCCTTCTTCCATTCTGTTGGGAGCTGTCCCTCATTCCAGGTCCTGTTGAAGAAATCCAGGAGTATGGAGAGGGAAGAGTCTGTCAGGTTGAGGATCATCTCATTGGTGATGTGGTCTGGTCCTGGGGCCTTTCTCTTTTTACGCTTTTTGAGGGCTGCCTTCAATTCCGTCAGAGTAAACTCCTTCTCAAACACCTCCAGGTTTGCCTTGTGAGTCCGTTCTGCCCTTTTGGTCAGCTGCTTTATTGTGTGGCTCAGTTTGTTCTGGTTTCCTGTCTTGTTGATGCTAGCAAAGTATTTATTCATAACCTCAGCTCTGCATGTCTCTCCTTTCTCAGTTGGTTTCATTGGGGTGGGGTTTTTCCTTCTTTTTGTACCTGAGAGATTGGTGAGCAGGTTCCAGGCTTTCCTCCCATCCTTACGAAGGTCTAGTTCTCCACAATGTTCTCTCCATGTTTTCCTTTTCACACTTTTGCTCTTCAGCTTTACCTTGGCAGTCAGGTAGTTGTAGTGCTTTCTGTTTTCGGCTGTTGGGTTCTTCTCAGCACGCCGTCTGGCTTTCTTTCTGGCCTTCGTCAGTTGTTCTTGTTCTTTGTCCCCAATAAGGGCGGAACGTCTTTGGGTTTCCTCTTGGAATCGCTCCCTTTGCAGATGTCTTTAGTTCTGTGGTGATGTCCTTGTAGCACTCATCAATTTGGTTGGTCGTGCATACTTCCAGGAGTCTACTTTCCGATTTCTGTTGGTAGAGCTCCCAGTTTGCTTTCTTGTAGTTCCAACTGCGTCTTATGGGGTTGATCCGTTCTTGTTTCCTGTTGCTGGATATCTGCAGTAGGATTGGGCGGTGGTCACTTCCTATGTCATCTAGGACAGTCATGGAGTAGTGCGGGTGAAGGTCAGCAGAGACCAAGGTCAAGTCTGGTCTGCTGAGAGTTCCGCTGGCTCTGTGAAGTAGGGTGGGAGGTGTCTTGTCATTCTGAAGTGAAATGAGGTTGCTTGATCTCAGTAGTTCTTCTAGAACTGTTCCTGTCGTGTCTGTATCGCTGTAACCCCACAGTGGAGAGTGTCCATTGAAATCTCCTGCAAGAATAGTATGTTTGTGGTCTGTATTCGGGAAGTTGAGCTGGAGAGTAGTTCTTGGTGGGCAGTATACATTGTAGATGGTATAGGTTGTTCCATCCGACTGCTGCACTTTCACTTCCTGCATGTCAGTCTCGTCATCGGTTTCTGGGTGAGAAACCTCAGCGGCGGTGTCATTCCGGATGAGGGTTGCGACACCTTGACATTTGGTGCACTTGCAGTGGTACATTGTGTAGCCTGTCAAATGGAACTCTATCCGCTTGGGTAGTTGGGTTTCCTGTAGCAGGGCTACATGAATTTTTAAGTCTGACAGCATCTTTGCAAGCTCCATTTTCTTGTTCTGTAGTGATGAAATGTTCAGTTGGAGTATGTTCAATGTCTGTGTGTCTGTAGGTTGGGAAGTCTGTGGTGTCTGTGTGTTGCTTGTGGCCCCTATACCTGCAGTGTGGGTCCCAGTAGCTGACTTGTCACTCCCGCCCCCGGGTGAAGGCAGAGAGCGCGGACCTTGATAACCGAGGCGACACCCGAGCTCGTATAGTTTCATTTGTCGTAGAGGCATTCTATTTGCTTGGGGGTTTTTAAAGGCTTGTATGCATCCCTGTAGGATCTCAGGTAAGTGGTAGTCTTGTCCTGACACTGGCTTGTGCCCAAACATCTTGTCACAAGAGAACAAAGGTGCAATGTTCACTGTCCTGTTCTCCATCAACCTTCACGGGGATTTCTTAGGATAGTAGACAATTATAAGGGGGGTGTAGGCACACTCTATTTCTGAGGGATGGGAGCCACAAAGTGCAACCAATGACAAATGATCATCTGAGCAGTCCAGTAAGGGGTCCCATTGAGTAAGGGGTAACGCGTTCCTTCCACAGTGAGTCGTCCACATCACCAAGCGTAGCTTGCGTTTGCCCAATCCCCGCCACCTGCCGTCTCCTGGCTATCTGCTATCACCATTTGATTTCCGTTCATGGGGCAGAATAATCCAAAGGATCGCCAAATCTACTCAGACAGAGGATCGTCAAGTCATGGGTCAGTGAGCTTTTGCCAGGATATCTGTGGGAACGTCATCTGTTTCCAGGCAGCCTATTCCTTACAGCTAGCTACAAGGCCTTCTGGGTCTGCAGAGACATCTCACAATGAGTCATCTGGCAGTCTGAGGGTACCATGCCCCGTCTGTAGAGCTCCCACAAGAGGGAGGGAAGAAGATGTCGACAGTGAGTTCCTGAATGAACAGGTCGGCCTGCTGTGACGCCAGACCTACCATAATGGTGGATGCGTATGGACCCGTCTACGAGCCGAAGGGTCGTTGCTCACTTTGCACCTCACAGGGCTATGGTACCTCCTGGCCAGAGCTGTCTGCAACCCCTGCTCCTATGCACAGAGCAGGGGTCCCCAGGCTGCTCGACAAGGACGGGGAGTTGACTTGGTTGAGGCTGGCTTGCCAGAGAGCGTCTGGGGTTTCACCCTAAACCCTTACAGCCCAACTACAAGAGATAAGCTTGGAGCAGTAGTATAGCTCCCTGTCTCAAAACCTAACAGTGGTAAATTAAATAGAACTTGAAATTCATCCAAGAGAACAAGAAGAAGATTTATAAGTTTACTTTAGAATAAATAAGGAGCTATCAATAAGTAGTAGGCCTAATTAGTAGTAGTAGTAACTTAGTAGTAGGCCTAGTAGTAGCAGTAGTATTATTATTATATAAAAATACACGACCAATAACAATACATAATAAAGTATAAAGTGTAAGCACATCATACACATCTAGATATCTACCGCAAGACTTGAGAAGATTAACAACATAATTTTAATGTCAGAGCAGCAATCTGTTTTTACCCGTTTTCATCGAGAACAAATGAAAGTTTTCAGGCTACTCTATAATTACTGTTCTACAAAAAAATTTTTAAGTAGGCATCTACCTCTTGTAAAGTACGCAGTCGGTAAATAATAATAGAATATTGTTAGTAAGTCAATACACTAATCTAGAATCTAGATGTAGAATTAGATCTGGAGACTTGTCTTGGCGCTTTTTCCGTAGTTCCCAACCCCCTTATTTGGGCCTCTTGGACTTTTTCCTTGCCCCAGTCCAAGTGTTTTTTTTTAAAAATACCCGCGCGGGGAGCGAGAGATATCAAACCTAATTGATTCTAGATCTACAATTTTAAAACATCAAATTATGGTAAAATTCAGGGAGGGTTTGCCCCTTTCCCCCCCCCCCCCCCCCCCCACCACATTTTTATTAGTGAAACCCCCGTACTCTTAGGGTAAAAACCAGCGAATAATTATTGGGCATGGGAGGGGGGGGAGAGAAGGGAAGATTGAAGAATACCGGACCACTCGTACATTATTGCGCGAGAAAGTGGGGTAGGTGGGGCGAGTGGTTGGGGTGGAGGAGGGGGGAGGGGGGGTTCAGGGGGGTCTCCCCCCTGACAAAATTTTAATGAATAGATCTACCGGTCCGAGATTCTCCATTGAGAGATATTAAAAACGGGAAAATTATGAATTCCTATGGCTGAGACATAGGCAAAGTCAGTCCGCTGGTCCGGTATTCTTCAATCTTACCGGAGAGAACTACAGAAATTTAAACGCCCTTTGTCTGTTTGTTAGTAAGATCTAAATCTAGATTTATCTAGATCTAGACTAGATCTAGATCTAGATCTAGATTTAGATCTAGCAGTCAGGCAGTCAGGATCAGGACTCGACTCATCAGTGAGCAGATTGACCAAAAAAAGACTCCTTCTGAAAAGTGACGAACATATTTCGGTTTAATTTTCATGCACATTGTCTGTCAAAATTTACGTAAGAAAAATGGGAGCACCTGGTTATTAAACAAACAAAATTGTAACAAAACACTTTATCCTACCGGGTCTGGGCCTGGGACGACAATTGAGGAAGTCTTTTAGTTTCGGTCAGCTGCTAATATCACATTTTGAGTCCAAGACTTATCCGGCTCAAGCCATGTCTGCAAAACGACAAAATGAAAATGCAGACAGGAAAACGTCCCAAGATATAAAAATGAATTTAGTAAGCACACAAACGGCACGGGACAAGATCTAGCTGACTTTGTAGTCGTGTCGTTTATTCTCCAGGAAAACGGTCCCCTTGATTTCAGAACAGTTGTACTACTCCGTAACAGAAGTTACTTCCGGGATTTGATCCAGGTTATCTTTAGGAACAATAACAGACTTAATCGATTACACTAAAAGTATCGTTGAAGTGTTCGGAGAGTGTGCCTATTTTTAATCAATATTCCTCTGAAAATAAGCACAAAAAAAGTTTCTGACTATTCTATCCTCTCTTTGCAAATTCTATATTTTTGATCAGGGTAAAAAAAGACTATATTTAAGGTAAAACATTAACTTTGAGTTGGTTGTCTATTACGAGCACGACTACAAGTACAAAGATTTTGATAGATCGATACTCGGAAATTGCTTACTCTATAGAGGGCGCTGCCATTTCCTGAGTACATGTCTTCTTCCGGCTTTGTATCTTCGTCATTCGTCACAAAGTTCAACATAATAATAATAATAATAATAATAACAATAATAATAATAATAATAATAATAATAATAAT